TATATATATATATATATATACATATATATATATAAAAAGCATATAAAATGAAAAGTAAATAGAAGAAATTAAATATAAAAACAAAACAGCAAAAATGAGAAGAACAGCGAAGCAGTCGTTGTGCCATGTTGTTACCTGAAACCAGATTGATGGGGAGGTAAGATGTTACCAGGTCAGCCTTAAGAAAATAAGGTGGAAGTACATCAGGGCCAGCAGATTTTCTAGAGTCTAGACCTTTTAACAATTTGTTAATCTCACTAACAGAAAACAGTGCAAAAGAAAAGATGTGGTTTACTGAGGATCGACTTGTAGGAGAGATATGACTTGTAGATGTTTGGCTTAAAGGAGAAGTGGCTGATTTTCCATTAGTAACTGTGACAAACAAGAAACTCAAAGCAACAAAATGTTTGTTGAAACAGTTCAGGATCTCATGCTTATTTGACACAGGAACAGAGTTAACAAGAAATTGTGGTGGGTGGCAGGTCAGTAGAATGGGAGCTGCCTGAGAGAGATTTGATGGTTTCCCAGAATCTTTTAGGGTCATTTAGCTCTTTGGAGGTCTGAGATATCAAGTTGGTAGGTTTTGCAGCTTTGATAGAAGTTGTACAATGATTCCGCAGCTGTCGAAAATATGACCAGTCAGTGTCTGAGCCAGAACGTCTGGCTGTGGCCTAGAGCCGATCCCTCCTGTGCAGGAGGTCGGCTAACTCTAGAGTAAACCAAGGGCTGTCTCGTCCTTTTATTCTGAACTGGCGGAAAGGGGCATGTTCATTTACAAAGTAGATTAAACTGTTCTGGAAGTAATTCCAAGCGTCAATTTCACATAGATTTTCTCTGACATTTGGCATAATTTAGCTCAGCTTTTCTGCATCATCGAAGAAAGTGTAATCATTAAAACCTGAGTTTTGTAACTGACTGAAATAAGGCACAGGTTAATGAAACTGTTCCATTGCTCTAAAACTCAAATGAAAGGTAATATTTTCTCTGCAGGTATTGGGGGAGGAATTATCCATCAAAATGAGCTGATCCATGGCAGTACCTTCTGTGCTGCTGAGCTGGGTCACATCAGGGTTTCACTGGAAGGTCCTGAGTGTTCCTGTGGCAGCCATGGATGCATCGAGGCTTACGCATCTGGCATGGCCCTGCAGAGAGAGGCCAAAAGACTGCATGATGGTGAGCTTGAGCTTGTTTTTCCAAGGCTTCGCAGTAAAACAGTGGCTTATATGCTCCTAAAGCAAAAAGAAGATGGTCTTTAAAACATTTTGAAGCAAAATTTTGTTTGGCTCATTCTTTATGGCACTTACAGAATAGTTTGCAGCATTGCTCAAAAGCATTGCATGAGTAACACAAACAGGGTGTTGGGTATTTCAAATTTAAAACAGTTTGAAGTACAGTGTGTCTGTACTTTTATTTGTACTTTCCCAAAACTTCAGTAGTTATGTTAAATAAAAATGTATTTCTATCAGAAAACATCCTAAGCAGAGAAGTGAGCAGCAGACATATCTTTGTCTCTGTGATTCTTTTTAGTAGACTCTTGTGTTTCCTCTGACCTTCAATTTTAAACACCTTACAGATATTACAAATCGCTAGCTTTACTCTTGTCACTACTAATACTTCAACATCAACGAATCCTACTGCAACACAAATTAGCTGCTTAGCTACTTCTAGTACATACAGTATATGTACTGGTTGAGAAAAAAATTGGTTTCCATGTTGCATTCACAGACTAAAGAGGAAAAAAAAACACAATTTGACTGTTGGATCTGATTTTGGTTACTAGCTGTATATATGGTGCATTCTTACTTTAATTAATATTTTTAATCTGCTTCTTTTTTTTCTATTATTTACTTTTTTTTACTTGATATGGTGTTTCTTCTAGATGACCTGCTGAAAGTAGAAGGGATGGATATAAAACTGTCCGAGCCAATCACTGCTGCCCACCTCATCCATGCAGCCAGAATGGGAAACTCCAAAGCAGACACTGCTCTTCACAAAGGTTAGTACACAAAGCAAGCACACAAACAAATGCACAATTAACACAATTGAAATTCTGTTTGGGAATTCAAACCATTTTTCAACAATATGGCAATTTGTAGTGTAAATAGTTTCCATCACTGTAGTGTTTTTCTCTCTTAGCCTTAAATTGGATGGATGGATGGGTGGGTGGATGTTACATTTTTACATCCATAATCTTATTTTATGGAAGAATTCAATTCATAATCCAAAAATTAAGAGTCAGAAAACTTTTCAAAAAGGACAGCAAAAATGTTTCCATCTTCTGAGGTAATAGGTCCAGGAAAGCAACCCAGGCATCACTCTCCTCAGCAACACTTTCCAGCTCCTCTTGGGAAAGGGACCCTGAGACGTTCCCAGGCCAGAGAAGATACACAATCTCTCCAGTGGGTTCTGGGTCTGCCCCGGATGAGGGTTGGAATGTAGACAAACCAGTAAATCAAGAGCTTTTTTGGCTAAGCTCTTTCTTCGTCACGACCAACCGAACCAACACCCTCGTTGCTGAGGACGAGTCTCCAATCTGTCGATCAATCTCCTGCTTCATCCTACCTTCACTTGTGAACAAGACACCCAGATACTTCAACTCCTCCTGATGGAGACTGGCAGCCAAAATATAAACAATAGAAATAATATTTGAAGTCAGTTTTGCTTTTAAAAGCTACACTTTTCTCCTTTTAAAATATTTGAAGACTTTAAACAAAGTGATTAGGGATCACACGAAGACACAGATATTTCTGCCATTTGTCAGGTTTTGGTTATGAGACAGATGGTACTGGTCACACTGAAGCCAAATAACAACAAGCTTCATGGATAAAGTATAGAAGCTGGTTTCTCAGATACTTTCTCTTAGATCAGAGGCAATGTGTTCAACATAATGGTACTTCATCCAGCTATCTGTCAAAAATGGTGTACCACAAGGCTCAGTCTTAGGACCCACCCTCTTCACAATCTACAAAAGTAATGTAGGTCAGATCACTCCTGATGCATCCTTACATTTCTATGCTGACAACATAGTTGTTTATTGTCAAGCAAGAACAGTTGCTAAGGTTTTCCATCTTTTACAGTCTGTATTCATCATCCAGTCAGATTTGTTCCGTCTCAAAATGCTGCTAAATGCAGATAAAACCAAAGGGATGTTGTTTTCAAATAGGAAGTTGGTACAAGCAGTAATTCCTTTTATCTGATCTACAAATGGTGTCCCTGTTGAGTTTGTTAATTCTTACAAATACTTGGGTATCTTGGTCAATTCGCATCTCTTTTTTTTTAAGTCTCATGTCAAAAACTTAGTAAAGAATTGAAAGTAAACCTGGGTTTCTGTTTTTAGAAATAAATCCTGTCTAACTCTGAATGCTAGGAAATGCCTTGTAACTGCGACTTTCCTTCACTTCACTGATTACGGTGACATTATTTACATGAACGCTCCTACAAGCACCTTGCAGATGTTGGACACTGTCTATCATGGTTCACTAAGATTCATAACTGACTAACTATCGTACCCATCACTGCACCCAGTATTCACTGGTTAACTGGTCATCATTAATGTCGCACAGGCTCTCTCACTGGTACATTTCCATCTTTAAATCACGTCTTGGTCTGTTGCCTTCATACATCTCCTCCTACATGTCACTCCTTGAGTGCAGCTACAGCGTGCGCTCTCAAGACATCATTACCTGCAGTGTACCCTCTGAGGACTGAACTTGGCAAAAGAGCCTTCTCCTACTCCACTCCTGTTTCCTGGAGCACCTTGCAAAAGACCTGAAGCTCTCGACCTTGACCTCTAAGTGTCTTCAAACAACTGCTAAGCTCTTGGCAAAAACCAACGCAGACATGTTCCTGATTTTAGTTTTTTTTTAATATCTCTTTATAATGTAGGTTTTTATTTTGTTCTTATATCACTTCTTTTATTTACTTTTCATTTGATATGCTTTTATATGATTGTCTGTTGTTGTCTGTACCTCTTCTGTGTTCTTTGTTTAAAACAATTTTCTCTTGTAAATGAGTCCTCGAGGTTCAATGAGACTAACCTGTATAATTACAGGTTGACTGAATGGGGGGTTAGGGGAACTGGACCTGAAGATGCTGCATGTCTGAAGTCTGGTCAAAGAAAATAAATCTGTCTTCTCTTTACAGCGACCACGGCACTTGGTGTGGGGATTGTAAACATCCTGCACATAGTCAACCCCTCACTGGTGATTCTGTCAGGAGTTTTGGCCTCTTACTACAAGGAGCCGGTACAGCGCATCATCTCAGAGAGAGCACTCTTCTCCGCCCAGAGCATCAAGGTCGTCGCTTCTGACTTAGAAGAACCAGCTTTACTTGGAGCTGCTAGTATAGTGTTGGACTATGCAACAAGAAGGACATATTAAGGAACCGTTTATTGGTTCTGGAAAAATTAGAACTCTTAATTACTTTTTAAAAAACTTTGTTTACCATAACATTTTTAAAATACAGTTCTATAATGTACATGGGCTTGTGGTATAGACAGGGATTTTATTTTAAAGTAATAATATTGAAATGTAAAGTATTTTTTATTAAGTATTTTGTGCACAACACCATATAAAATTACAACTGGTCCTGGACATATTAGAACATTGGTTTTGGGACCTGAAAGGATTTTCTCAATGATGCTAGACTTTAACTTCAATTGGCCTCAGTTGAATGTTTATGGATAATCCTGACTTAGCTTTTTAATTAAGCAGTTGAAGTGCAGCTCATTGACAGCAAATTATAGATTCAGTCTTTTTTTTTAACATTCTATTTATTTCTCTTCAAAAACTATTCTGTTGCTTTTGCTTTGTTTCCATCTGATCTGTGAGTGCTGTCAAGTTATTCATGTATTCAGTTGAATCTGAGCAGGTGGGATAGGATTTGCACGTTGTAGTAAAGGGTATTCCTTGTGAAGTTTTCTCTTCGTGGCAGAATTGACCCTGTGGAGTGGTGTCTTCACTGCATATTGTACATGAAAGTACACATTTAGAAGTGAGGGTCAAAGATGATCAGATGACACATCTGAGCTGGCAGAAGTAGCCTGAGAGCCAAACTGGGGTGTGTGAAATTGGAGGGGATTTTTACTCTGATCCTTGTGGTTGTGACTGAAGGGGAACAGCAGGGACTTTTAGCAAGAGCCCTTTGTTCATGTTATGCAACAAATAGTGGTGTGGATACTTCTACCCCTGGTCCATGGAGAGTGTTCTACACTTAAAGGTTCATGTTCTTCACCATAATGTCTGCTTTAGACATTTATTCATTCATGTTGGGGGTTTCTTTCTGTCAGAATAGAACAAATTGTTGATTTGACTCTTTCATATATTTTCATTTGGCACAATACGTTTCACTTTGACTGGAACTTCTTGTACTGCATTTTGACTTTTCCAGAAATGTCTCTCCAACAGAAATCTTTCAGACTGGTTGCCATATATTTTCACATTAAAGAGCTCTGAGTCCTAAAATCCTCCTACAATTTGTTTAATTGTCTCAGTTTAAAGATAAGTCTTTGATTTTAGCCCATATACATTATATTACCCTAACTAGAATGTTTTGGTAAATGGGACCAAATTTCAGTACTCCCATTATTTGAGGCTGTTTTCAACAGTTGGACCCTTTTTAAGCTAGAACAAAAGGTAATTTGTAGTTAAATAAACTAGCAAAGTTTTAAATATTTAAGTTTTCTCTCAGTACATACAACTTTGGCAAGTGGTATTGCTTGAATTTAGAAACCTGGATACATAATTCTACACAGTGCCTGCCTTGAAATCAATATTTAATGAAAACCCATAGTTGTTTTTATTTTTATTTTATTTTTTTTTATTTTAAACAAATGTTAAAGGTGACCAAAATGTTGCGAAGACATTCTTCCATGTTGTAGCACTTGTTTCCGTTGTAACATATTAATTTGTTGGTGCTCATTATATTTTGATGAATGTGTCATTCTGAAGTTTTTCTCTGTTTAAGTTTTGGGTGAAATGCCAAATGTTATGCTACATTCCCCATACGTTACTGATTTTATAATTTTAAGGTGATGCAGAAATGATACTGGCAAGTGTTATGTCAACAAGTGTTTGAGCCGCTTCAGTGTGATGAAGGTTCCTGGATGTATGCTTTTTTTTATATGTATGCCACTTTACTGCAAACCTTAGAATATAGCCTTTTGAAGAAAAATGACGAGGTTTCTATGTTCTATACTGTAATTTACAGTATATGCTGTTTAATTTTTTTAAATGAAATGCAATCTGTTTATTGATAAATGTTGGGCCAAATGATAAATTAAAACTTTTAAAAATTGACAAGAAACGCTATTTGATTTGAAAATGCCAAAGATGTTCACCATATTTGAATTACGGTTCTAGGGCTGCAGTGTATTTTTAAGTGTATACTGAATTTGTCATTCTGTTCACCATCCATTAGTGCTGAGGTTTTATTTTTATTTTTTTTGCAATGCATGTTCCAACAGGAAAGTGAGTTCTGAATGACATGGAGATAGTTCTCATGTTTTAGTCTGTTTGCCCCCACCTACTTGTTACAGGTGAGGTGAATGCTCACATATCACCTGAGCCTGTAGAGACTATCAGACGTGTTAATTATTAACCAGCAGGTCATACCTGAGGAGAACACAGCTGCTGTTGCAAAGTGCAAAGAAAATGGAGCAATGAAGACCAGAGAAACAAAGGCCTGTTACTTCACAAAGACCAAAAATGGTGCTGGTAGTTTTTGTTGTTTTTTTTTTTCCCGGCTGCTCCCTTCTTCAGGGGTCACCACAGCGAACCAACTCGCACAAAGACTTGGCAGTTGTTTGTACATTGGATACCCTTCCTGATCCAACCACAGACCACCGAGCTACCATAGCCCTCTGTGTGGAGCAGAGAGCTGCCATCTAGGGCACCTGAGGGAGCAGATGATGGGGCCTTGCTCAGGGGCCCAGAGCAGAGGCAGGTGTGGGTGCTTCACCTTTCCCACCCACATTTTGACGTCAGTACTGGGAGTTGAATCAGCGAACTTCCAATAACAGGCCCACCTTCTCTAATCACCACTCCCACCCAAAGTACTGGCAGTACTAAACAATCTTAGTACAAAACAGTCCATTTCAAATATTGGTCCCTAGTTGTTTAAATTAAATTGTGCTTTAAAAAAAAGCCTTTTAGTGAAAATGCTGAAATTTGGCTAATGAACTTGTTATAAAGGTTACACTAATGCTTAGCTGATTTAAAACTCAGTTTAGCTTTTTTTTTTTCCCAAAAGTTGAAATAGGCAAAAAACTGCATCTAAAACCTTGAAATTGTCAAAAAAAAATTGAAGCAAAAAATAGAGAAATTAGCTAAAAGCAAAACGATAGCTAAAGGTGGATGGTTTAAAAGCTAAATTTAGAAAAACACAAAGCTAAATTGTGCATAAAAAGGCACAAATGGAGTAGATTTGAACGATGTTTTGAACATATTAAGAGATATCTGTTTTCTAAACGTAGTGAAAATGGTCTAAATAAAGTTAAATATTTTGAAATGTAAAAACTGCAAATATTAAAAACCATAGTACACAGTTCCTGATCAAGCTGAACATTTGGCAACTGAATTAGTTATTGTACAGCATGTGGAAATGGTTTGCAAAAAGCAGGCAAAAGATATGAACAGGAAAACAATGTGCTGAGTCAGTATTCACACTTATAATTTAAAATATTTAGTGGGTCTTTTTAATATTAGGAAATAATTGTAGCCCTTAGATATAAAATAGAGCAGGTTTTGGTATTGTAGTGCATTTATTAGAAAACTGGTCTAATTAAAGTAAAAAAAAAAAAAAAACATCTTATGAACAGGTCGTGTCCATAAAACATTCATGTAAGCCTTGAGAGGATCACTTCACCCTTCAGCTGATCTGTTTACTGTTTGCTAAAACCTGATGTGACATGGTAATGGGAAACAAAAGGTTAGGAAAAAAACTACATAAATGCTAAATTTAACAAGTATTTCACGATGTAAACTAACTTAAAATCTGCTTTAAATCATCAGGTAGCTGTAAATTTTTGGTGGTATGTTTCCAAAATTGTCAAACCAGCAATTTTCTGGCAAATATTAAGAAACGAGAGGTGGCTCGAGGTTTGACGCACATTCCAAGGGGCTTATCAGGGCAGAAGCTCAGGACCCCCCAAAATAGTGTTTTTTTTTTATTCAATTACTATTTTCCAAACTTCCTATTTTACTTATTTCCCTGTCAAAGGAACTAAGTTGATGGACAGTCTGGCCCATATGGTTGTCCTCTGATTGGGGAGTAATCCCCTGCAGTATCCCAAAGTGTCCTTGGGCAAGACATTGTACACTCCACTGTTGACTGATACGCTCACACTGAGTGACAGCTGTGGGCAGCTCGATAAATTGATGTTTAGCATTGCCTCACAGCAAGAAGGTCCTGGGTTCAAGGACCCCAGATGGGCCTGGAGTCTTTCTGTGTGGACTTTAAATGTCCTCACGTTTTCATAGGTTTTCTCCAGGTACTCTGGTTTCCTCCCCAGTTCAAAAATATGGATGTTGGGCAGCCTTCAGGTCCAGGCCTCCCTTGAAAAAGAACTATCATCTGAGGGATGTGCCAGATTAAAATACAATAAATGTTAAACAAATGCTGTAAATATAAAAAAAAGTGCTGTGTTTAAAAATATATAATGAAGCACTCTATGAGTGTGGGAACGAATGTGTGAGTAAAAAGCTCTGCAGTGCTTGCAGATCCTGAAGAAGTCAAAAAATGTGCTTTATTAAGTTGTGAATCATATGATCGATTGTGGATCTGGTGATATTTTGGGGTTGTGTGTTTCTTGAGATTTAATTTTACTGTTTTGAAGCCAACTAGCTTTAATTTGTTTTTATAAAGTCAGGCAGCTGGTCTACGTTTTTTGTCTGATTTTACACATTTTTAAATTAAAACTCTAGGTGCTATCCGCTTTGCTTTGTGTAATCTCAAAATGTTAAGATTATTTCTAACAGTAGCAATGTTGTCTCAGTGCGTATTGATATTCTGTATCTTATTTTTACTGCAAAGGCACTTGAAATGGTGTATTGTTTGTTTAAACAGAGATACCTCTCAGATCCACTGATCTCTGTGCAGCAATGAATAATTAAGTTGTGACAGCAGACTTTCTCAGAATTTGAGATGATGGGTTGAAGTTTTTCTGTGCCTCGGACTTTAGACATTACATCTAAGCAGCTGAAGTTAATGTGCACTAATTGTAATTTTGTTTTAAACATAAGGCCACAATAAGAATATCTAACCCTGGGGCCCAAACCCTCAAGAATGTCCTGTATAAAAATAGATTGTTCTGTTACTTCCATCAGCTGAAATAAAACAAGGACATGGAAATCTAATTTTATGTAATAAATTGTAAATTATGCCTCAAAACCCTGACTGCGGATTTTTTAACAGCTTGGATGCACGTAGCAGGTCACAAGATCTACGTGCAAAAATACAACAATTTGATTGGTCCAATTCTGAGACAGCTGTTACGTGATTGGTTAGCTGTGCTATCAATCGTCTGCCTCGTTTTCTGATTGGCTTTTAGTCCATTTCCGTTCGGCTCTCTTCAGTATTTTCCCCTCCCCTTCGTCCTTCTTCCCGTTTAGCTAATCTCTTAGTGTCAGTTGCTACACCTGCTAATTATTCCCGTCCAAAACAGCTTTAACCATGGATGACTTTGACATGCTGAACGCACCTGCCGCTGGAAACGGCGTCGGCTCAGAGGAAGACCCCGCCGCCGCCTTTTTGGCCCAGCAGGAGAGCGAAATTGCCGGGATTGAAAACGACGAGGGCTTCAGCATCCTTGACGGCGGAGAGGTGCCTTCGTCGCTGAGAGATTCTGGTTTGTAACGGTTTCCCTCTTAGCCGTAGAAAGTTCATATTACTTCTACGTCGTTTTGCTAGTGTAATCATCGTTAATCCTTTTAGGTATGCCCCAGGGCTTTATAAAACGCTAAATTACAAGCATTCCGGTTATATATTCAGTAATTACACGTCGAGGCTTACAGCTAACGCTAGCTGCTATCAGATCTGCCAAGATGCCTTCCACTATTTTTCCCCAACATAACTTTCCAGATATTTCAGAAATTCACACGTAATTGACAGAAGAAAGACGTCGGGAGTCCAATGAGTGTTTAAGTTTAAAATGATTTGCTCACCACTTAATGGAGTCGAGCTGTACGATAACATCAACACTGCGGTTCTTGGTCATTCATTGCTTCCTGTTAGCTTGACGGCTAGTTAGCATGCTAATAGCACAGCTAGCAGAACATTCAGCCTTTGGCCGTGATTGTCTCATTTCCTTAAGGATTGCTGTGCCTTGAGCAACTTGAAAATGCTGACATGGCACACACACAGGTCCCCCCCCCCCCCCCACACCCAAAAAAAAAATACTAATGGGAAATAACTATTCATGCTTAAGTGTATTTTTATCTCATTATGTCTTGAGTTTTATTCTTGATTTCTAATAGCTGTTTTTCTTTATTTATTTCAGATGGAGTCATCAATGGAGAGTTTCATGGGGTAATACTGCTTTCTTAGAATATTCTTGAGTTTTTGTAACTTCTATTTTTGTTTTCATGTGTTTAATTTTGGATTTGGTTTATAAGATAAAAGGAACAAAGTTCCCAGTTAACTTTAAATTGGCTAATGCTTCTTACTAATTCAGTTTACCTATTGAATCCATCTGTTTGCCTTTTAAGGCACGCAAATGCAGCCCTGTTGCATTCCAACAACTTTACATTTTCCACTTGTTACTGATGGATTTTAGTTTCAAAATTTTTTTTTTGCTGAGTTATGTTTTCTTGGTATGTGTTAGTGCCAAAAAACTTAAACAACAAGGACAGTGCACTCTACATCTTTTATGTAAATGTACCATAAATTAGAATGTCTGCATACACTACATACGTACCCTTCTCGTATTGAGATTATTTTATTCGTTTTTTAGTACTGTTGCAGCTTGACTTCAATTTCTAACTCTCTGGGTTGAGATTCTTGCTGTTGATGACTCCTGCTTCCTTTTCCTGTGCTGTCATTGCAACATTTTTATTCCTTCTGCACAGTCAGGACTTCTAGCAGTGAGAGAAGCTCACTTTCAAGAACGAATGTACTACCTGCAAATTGGAAATAAAATACAGAGAAATGATTCCACATGTTTTTTTTGGAGTGTTTTTTTTTTTTTAGTAAAAAGTGTAATAGGATTAACTGTTGGGATGAGGAATTGAAAGTTTATTTCTCAAATATTATCGTTTTTCAGATGTTAGGTTTTGTTTTTTTAATAGCACAATTGACTTTTATTTAATTTCTACTTTGCAGGAAAGCAACGGTCCATCAGATGCTTATGCAGCAATTTCTAATGCGGATCGATTGCAAGCTGAACCTGAAAGTCTGCGCAAGTGGAGGGAGGAACAAAGCGAGAGGCTTGAGGTGCTAGGTAAGTATTCAATTCAACCTTTATTTATCCAGGTTAGTCTCATTAAGCCTCAAGGACTCGTTTACAAGAGAGACCTGTAGTATTAAGTGTAAAATGGAATAATATTTTGTAAAGGAACAGATAAGAGGCTACTGCCCTTTTTCTTATAGACTCAGAAATTTGTTTTTAAATAATACTTATTGTCTGTCAATTGAGATAATAAATGTTTTTCATGAATCTAAAAAAAAAAGAAATTCTAGTGCTGTATCACATGAGCACAAAGACAAACATAGGTTCATTAAACATTGAGGGCCAAATGTAGCTTGGTGACAGTTGCCATCTATTCTGTGAATGAACAGTCATGAAATTGATTAAATGTTTTACTTATTAATCAACAGTTTAATCCACGTGCAGTTGGATTTGCTTTCTAAAAAGAAAATCAGTCTGTGTTTGCTGGGGGGGAAAAAAAAAGTAATTTTGTTCAAATTGAAGGGGAAGGGGTGCTTTTCAATATTTTTATGCAGTTTTTGTTAGGTTAGTTTTTAAGCAGTAAATTTGACATGCAAAGTGGAGATCTGATCTGATCTTCCACAAAGATCTCAGTAGAATTTGTCTGGTTAAATACAGGTTACTAAGTAATAATAAAAATATTCACGTCAGTCAACCCTTTGAATATACACCAAAGTTACGTATCTCTGTGACTCTTATCACAGACGCAACTTATTGAGTTTTGGAGAAACGGCAAACATTTCACTGATCATTAAATGTTGACGTGATACTATGCAGCTAGGGTGTGCCTCATGTTTCAGTTTATTGTGTGATCCTCCGGCTATTTAAAGCCAAAATTACCCTGTCCTTATTATTTTTGTTTATTATTTCCTCCCTCTGCAGATGCCAACTCTCGCAAACAGGAGTCTGAGTGGAAGGATAAGGCCATGGTGGAGCTGGAGGAGTGGCATGCGAGGCAGAACGAGCAGCTGGAAAAAACCAAATCCCATAACAGGTAGTGGCTTTGTTGAAGTGATTTTTATTTTAATTTTAAATGACATCACTTACAAATACTGTATGTTAGTATATCGTGTGTTTTATAAAACTGAATGATTAATAATTTGATTAAAAAAATATATATATTTTTTAAATATGAATAAGGAATGTCCCCAGATAAAACTGATTAGTGTATTTAACTGCAACACCATCAAACATTTCTTCATATTGTTCACATTATTGCCAGGATAGTAAATCATAATTCGATTAAACTGGCTATTTGGTTTAGAAGATGAAGATGATTCTTCCTTTACTTCTGGTGAAGCTCTTTAGAGCAGGGCTATTCAACTGGTGGCCCACGGGCCACTTTCTACCCATAGGTGACTTAAGTCTGGCCTCCCTGTAAGTTCCTTTATTAAAAATAGATTTAAAAAAAAAAAAATCTGTAAAACCTTTATTTTATTTATTTATTTTTTAAATAAAAAATTGAGATGGCAATTATTTCAGAGCCAAACCAGTTAAGTGCACATCTCAATTTTCAATTTCTCATCTCTTCAATCCCCACCCCACGCCCTGATAAGCGCCCTGTCAAGGCACGTAATCTAGAGGAAATACTGAATTGCACACATAATTTCCACAAGGCTACCCAGCATGCTTTGCAGTTCAGAGTCTCTCTGAGACACTATCACAGAGACAACTTGGTGAGTTTGGGAGAAAATTAAACTTAACAGAAGCACATCTTTGCTTTGATCTGGGGCCTACAAATATCTGTTTTGGTGTCACTAATGTGTATTTATAAGGATTAAATCAGAAGAACCAGGAGTCAAAAGGCTGTGGAGCTCATGTTGTGTAGAGTTCTGATTAGCTGATCATATCAGTGTGTGGTCGCCCACTATCTGGATTAACCAGATTTTTTTACCGGGGGAATACTGATGAAGACGCACAGCAGCTTTGTAGTTTAAAAAATAGTCGACCACAAATAAGTTGGTTATTTCATTATAAATGACACAAAGGACACGGTCAACACGCATCACACTCTTTCAGCCCAGCTGAGTTCTGCTCTACCTCTTTTTGGTTCGAAGCTCACACCTGAGGGGGACGTGGATGCTTCACCTGTGATTTATGAACTGTTTAAGGAAGAACTGGTCTGTGCGGACATTGTAAATCAGAACTGGTTCTTAATGGACTTTCCTCGAATGGCAACATGCCAGTCTGTCAGGCAAGATCAAAAATGGTCACCTTTTTTTTTTTTAGTTTGAAAAGCATAAAGATTTGGCAAGTTAGCGATGACTGAATAATATGTGTTAAATAGGAGGCATAGGGTGTCATTTAAAAATATATAATGATTCACATTAGAATATCTATCGGTACTTTTATTGCAAGGAAATCTTGACTTTCTTTGAATTGCATTTTTGGGTTCTGTTTATTGCATTTATGATTCAATACAGCAAAAATAAATGCATTTAAAAGGTAACAGATCATTGTAATGCTGGGTTTATTCACATAATGACTTTAATTGCTGGATGTTTGGCCCCTGAGCTGCTGGCTCTCAGTAACTGTGGCCCCCTGAGCGGTTTAATTGAATAGCCCTGCTTTAGAGGCCAAAAACCAGGGTCTTTGATTGTAATACTGCAAATGTTCTTGTGTGGTAACCGATACTTGTTTCTATCCTCTCCTCCCTTTACTGCATTTCCTCTTCTCCTCTTCCTTCTTGCTGCTCTCTCGTTGGGCGGATGTTTGTCCAGAGTGCTGGACGAGGACTTCTACAAGCAGCCCTTCTCTGACCTCATTGGTTATGTGTATGTTGCTCCAACTAACGTCCTCCCTTTATACACACTTCATTTATTCATTTTTTGCTTTTGTTTCTTACATCTGTGACTACAGACTTGGTTTTTTTAAGCTCCTTTTTTAAAAATTTTTATTTATTATTTAATAGCCTGGATTAAATCTTATTTTTTATTTTTATTAACAAGTGTGGTTATAATTTTACTCCATATGTCTGCAAGTCATTTGTGAGTAGATGCATGTCAAAATATTTCATAATCTCCTGCATGTAGTTGCACTAGAGGTGGACCGAATGATGGATTTGGCATATGATGAAATTGGCTCAGATAGTTGTCAACCATGTAAACGCATCACAGGAGCTCAAACCCTTCTTCAACACTATAAATACATTCTTGATACATCTTTTTTTTTAAAAAAAGAGAGTTCTGTCTAATAATACAACTCTTTAATGCATTTTTTCTTAAATATACTTAAAACTCAAGACTTGTTTTTTTGCTCAGTTAGTGACTAAAGAGTGGCTGTAATTCTTTCGGCTCTGACTTCGCTACTAATTTAACTATTCAAAAATATCCAACCATGATTTATATAATAACTGGACAACAGTCTAAAATATACATTATTTTATTTTTGTTGTTGTAATCATAAAAAATGAATTCATGATACAAGTTGTGCTCAACAACTTGAATATTTTTTAAAAGGTTTTATTATACTAGTCAAAATCAAGAATATACTCAATGAGCCAATTATTTTTCTTTATTAGTTTATGTTGCCCATGAAACATCAACTGTCGGTCTATCTCTAGATTGTACAAACTACTGAGCTCCTCACTCAGATTTGTGAAAATTACGTCCTTTTCCCCCAAAGAAGTGCCTGTTTTTATCCCTTACTCATCATTGATTTTACCGTCTTAAGATGGTCCAGGAAATACTTTTATACTTTTTATATATTTCTAACATGTAACATTTGCTTGTGTTTGAACAACATTTTAACAAAAACTGTGTTGTCTTTGTAATGTGGTTTGCTTTCTAATGACTTGACAATAAGTTACTTAGGAATAGCAAATTTGTGCCTTTTTGTTTGAAGCAGTTGTTTTATAATTGGTATTTAATGAAGATCAGCTAACTTGATGATAAATCTTTCAAAATGTAGATTTTTTTTGTTTTTTTAAATCTGAAGATGTATTTTTGCTTCTAAATCAGTCCAATATGATTTTCCCCTCATCTTATTCTCAACTATTATCACGGTACTGTTCTGCCATATTTTATTGTTGTTACCGTTGGTAATGGATGCACAACTGCTTCAAACGGTACTGTTTTTATGCTGTTAGAATTGTAGATGCTCTGTAGGTACTAACATGTTAATAGACTCATTTCACTGCAGACAGTTTGACTTGAAATGGCCAGACATGCACAAGTGCATCAATGAGGGCAAACAAAGTTGGGCTTTTTCTCATGATCTTCATGAAAGGATCAGGGGAAGTGTTGGACATGTGGTTACTTTTCGTTTCTGAGCAGCCAGCTAAAGTAAAGCCATGTCAGCAGCCTTGGCACAGCCCGAGCTAGTTTCCAGTTAGATTTGGACTTGGCTGCCTCTTATCAGCTGTGAAATGTGCATCTATGGACAGCACCTCAAGACATGAACAGGAGCAGACTGATTTATGAATTTCAGTGCAGCATTTCAATTTTTTTTGTTCTTGTTGGCGTCTTCCACCTACAACTGAACGCACACTAGAACTGTTTACAGCCAAATGTTGGAGCCGCTGAGAAGAGTACCAGACAGTACTCGTAAGTCTGAGGCCACTATTCTCTTCATAAAAAGTCTGGAACACTTCCTGTGGATTGAAGATGAGTTTCTGCATCAAGTGCAGTTTAAGTTTCTTGATGACACATTGAGTGATCGGGAGATGAAGCAATAGATGATCTGGTGGATCAGGACTTTGTACTCCGTAATGAGGGCCTTGCATTGATCTTTCGTGCCAAAGAAGCTGAGTCCAATAACAAAGTTCTTCTTATATTCCTGGTTCATCTGCAGTCCAACCCTCTTCTATAGTCATGAGATTAAGATTGTCACCAAAAGAATAAAGTCATAAACTCGACTAGAAATTTCCTTTGTGGGGAAGCTGTCTTATCGATGGGTGAGGAGCTCTGAGTACAGGTGCTGCACCTCTGCATTAAAAGGAGCCCCCCGAGGTGGTTTACCCATCAGATTAAACTGCTCTCTGGTTGGCTGCCTCCTTTTGGATGCTCTTTAGGCTCATCCCATTGGGAAGAAACCCTGGAGCAGACCCAAAACTTACTGGAGGGATAATTAATGCCTTGATATTCCCCAGAAGGAGCTCATGTCTCTGGGTAGAAGGAAGTATTCAAAGGATGAACTATCTCAACAACTTGTCCAGTTTTCCAAAAATCTTTTCATAGTCCAACAACTTTTTATTTCCTTGGGATAAAAAAAAACTAATGGTATGCCATGAAGCCTGTGTTGAAACATTCAGTTTGACGGATAATGAGAAGGTACAGTTACAGATGTAGAATGCAGCCCCGCTTGATACACTTGAGCTCGTTTGACTAGTTCAAATCAAAAGAATTGCTCTGAATGATGTCTATTCCCAGCTGGCTATTCATTTGCAGTCCTGTGCAGCCTTTGGCTTCTCCCCTCAAACTGTTTGTTGTGATTTAGAGATGTACAGAATATGTTGTCTTTTTCTTACCATAGACACCGTTCTGCCTCAGACTGACTCATACCACTTCAGTATTTTTTTTTTTTTGACTGTGAAGACCTAAATCTTAAAGTATCATTAATAATTAGTCAATTTTGACTTTAATTACATGACTGTAAATTATTCAGATAAAAATGAGAGCTGTACATTTAGTTTAATTGTTAAATAAAATGGTCCAAAGTTGGTGTCGTGTTAAACCAAAGGCTGCATAGAGATGTTTCTAGCAAATACAATTTCAGCCTGCTGCTTTTGCATGCTGGCTTCAACATCTGCAATGAGCTCATTTTTGTCTTTTTGTTTCATTCCCTCTTCCTCCTCTTTCTATCTCTTTTGAATTCTGACTTGTGAAACTGTTTCTCCCTGTTTTCTTTTCCTATGCACCTTAAAGCACACACATTAACCATCCTTGCTACCGCCTAGACCAGTTAAGTAAAAACATGAAACCCCAGACCTTTTTGAATTTTATTTGTTTTGGCAGGGGGTAGATGCAGTTTTGTGAGTGTCATCATGTTGTACAATTTACTTGCTTGCTCGTTAGATTCACTGCCAAACCAGAAAATGTACATGATCCCCCTCTTTGATGTTGTCCCAGTCTTCTGTGTTTTCTAGTTTGTTGTATCAGTGACTGTTCTTTAGCTTTTAATCCCTTGTTTTGTTTTGTACCTTGTTTTAGTTGTATTTGTCGCTGAAGGTAGGGTGGAGATGAATAAAATGAATGAATCTAAATTTAAATGACAGTATTTTCATGGTTGCGAGTGGGTGTGACGAAGGCTCCTGTGTTTTGGGATAGTACAGATTGACATTGAAAATCTTTTTCTTTTGTGTAGACTTTTTTTCTATGCAAGTACTTTTTTCAATGGAAGGTAGTTTCCATTAAAAATGTTTTATTTTTATTTTACATCTTTTATCCCCCCCTACACGTTTCAGAGTAAAACAAGTAAAGCCATTGTTGCAACACTTCTGAACAACCTGCTCCACCGACACGGCAAAATGCATGGCTAAAAGTGCTTTCAATTCATTTAGGCCTGGTTAAAAGCAAGCAAACATTATTTTTTTTTAATACTTTATTCATTTTTAGAACACTTGAATAACTTGAATGGCATTTATTGGTTGAGTAAAGTCCAACAGTTTTGTACAGAACTGTATTTCTAACCAACCAGAAATGCTTTTTAAAGCATAAGGTATTTCTTTTCGTGTTTAAGTCTTATTTTACTAAGTGTTTCGTAGGTAACTCCCTTTGCTGTTGTGACTTCTACAAAAGTTCTGTGACTTTAGTGTTGTGTTAGCAGAGATGGGGAGGGGGTGTACCGTAGGTTAATGTGGTTGAGGGTTTTCTCGTGGGTATAAATGCATGTAGCTGTTTGGTATGGTAGAACGGCTCTGGCCTGAGGTAAGACTCTGTTGAGCTGAAATGTCCAACACAGACCAAAGCTATCGAATCTGTTTTTATGTCACGTTTTAAAAAAACATTTTAAGCTAACGCTGAACTGTGACTTGAGTCGGATGCAGATGCATCGTTGACCAGAATCTGTGTTGGTTCTCAGCAGAGGACTTTCTCATCGCTGTCATCATGTATTAATGTGTGCACTGTGTTTTCCTCCTCTGACTGGTGTGTTTTCTTCTCCTCTGTTACGTATAGGGCAGCTGAGGAAGCCATGATTTCGGATCTGGATGAGAACAACCCTGGCACGGAGTGGGAGCGGGTGGCTCGGCTCTGCGACTTCAACCCCAAGTCGAGCAAGCAGGCTAAAGATGTCTCCCGCATGCGCTCCGTCCTCATCTCTCTAAAGCAATCCCCGCTGATCCGTTAGGCACCAGTGTGTTCAGTCATTCCATATCATTCTTTTTCCCAACGCACACACACAAGCCCAACCACTGAAATACCATTTACATTGCAAAGACGGGGAAATCCTTTCTGTGCACTTCTCTCTGCCTGGAACAGCCCTGTCTTTAACACTTATTGGAAGGAAATACCTGCTGGTCTTGCCAACTATCTTCTGGCAGTGCTGGTGACCTCCTTTATTTACCTGCTCACCACATCTGCCCCTTGTTTTGTCTTCTGTGTGCACCTCCACAGACCCATCCAGACCTTATAATGTTTGCAGTTTCTTTTAAAAATGGGGCCAATCAAGACCGGTTCGATTCTGTATCAGGTCCTGTTTTCTGTGGAATTGCAGAACAGTGTAAATGTGGTGAGTTGGGACACTAAAAGGGAAGATTTGATGTTTGTTTGTTCAGGTCTACAGCTACACTACATCCTGCACCACAAACAAAATCATTATGCTGTCATAATTCTTAACGTGTCGGTCCTTATGAAGCCTGCTTTAACCCTTTAGGGTTGATGCATTCAGCTGTTTTATTCCCCTTTTTTTCTCAATTTATCACTTCATGTTTACCCTTCCTATAACAATGATCGTGTTTTATTTTTTTCTTTTCCACGGACCAAACTTTCAAAAGAGAACCCCCAGATTCAGCGTGTACTTCAAATTGTGTGTGTAGTGCCTGCTTGTGGCATATTAACATTTCCAATCTATGCATTTTCTTTTGAATGCTTTTCCCTTGTAAAGTGAGAACTGAACGAAGTCCAGTCATTACAGTTTATGACCCGTTTCTACGTGTTAAAACCTCAGCAGTGTGTGTACTTGATGTGTGTACCTATGTACATATACAGAAGGCAATATATACAATATATAAAACATTTATGTCACTGAAATTAGACAGTTGTGGTTTAAACTAGATACTAGCCAGTTATTGCTTGACCATGTTTATTCATTGTCCATTTGATTTCAATATCAGTAAAGAGTAAATGAGATTTTTTTGTGTTGTCATTCTTCAGTGGGTGGTTTTAATATAACTTTTTTTTTTTTTGATGGTGGGGCTTTTAGGAAACTATGAATGGCTTTTTATTGTCACTATATACTCTTGTACAGTGAGATTAAAAGCAACTCTCATGGTGCAAACATACACGGGTGCTGGCCATGAAATTAGAATATCATGAAAAAGTTGATTTATTTCAGTAATTCCATTCAAAAAGTGAAACTTGTATATTTAATTACATACACTGATATATTTCATGTTTATTTCTTTTAATGTTGATGATTAAAACTAACAACTAATGAAAACCTCGAATTCGGTATCTCGGAAAATTGGAATATTGTGAAAACGTTCAATATTGAAGAGACCTGGTGCCACACCAAATGGCTAATTAACTCAAAACACCTTGTAGTGAACTAGGCCTGAGGTCAAATCCTGACCTTAAGGACCTTATGGGACAGAAACTGTCATTTCATTGATTTGAATCCAGAAATACAGGTTGACCCATCCTGAGACTTTCTTTCTTGAATTAATCAAGTGAAAGAACACTACTTTCTATTATCATTACTATTTTACAAATGTTTGATAATCAAATTGTGTTAGTTCAAACCATTTCCAAATGTTGAAGTGAACTACTCATTTTAAATCAACTGTGAAACAGTAATAATGATTGTTAATCCTCATTCAAAGTAGAAATCAGGTTAATGATGCATTGTCTGATTTTCTGTCTTCAATGAGCAAGTTGTGTAAGTTGGTCAAAGTTCAAGTTTCGGTCAACTGCAAGTTTACTGAAAAAGAAATGTCATGTTTAACTTTTACAGGAAGATACTAGAGAATTGAATTCGATTAACCATACGGCGATGGTTGAAAAACTTCACAACAGACATTTCTAAAAATACCTGGAATGATTTCTAGCAGATAGAAGAGTTTAAAGATGGAAATTGAAGTTTAAGTTGAGTGAAAGGATGGACGAGGGAAATGTTTGTGTCGGCATCAGAACGGCACTCTCCGGTGAGTTCCCAGCTTCTTCCCCAGTACACTTAGGTGGTATAAATCAATTCTTTTACCTGGAGGAGGTGATTCCACTGGTACGGAGTTCCATTTAACGCACCCTTTCAGCGTCTCCGTAGGAACAGCTGTGAATCGTCCGAAGTAGTGACGGTATTCCGTCCGACACAGGTTCACCTCTTGGTGGACTCACAAGAGGAGTGAGTCCGTCAGGAGTTCCACTCAGAGGTGGAAGATGTCATAATCCCACAAGACTCGGAAGAGCTCTGGATCATGTCGGGATTTTCCTGTTTCCCAGCACTGGAGCTGCAACGACTGAAGCCGGAGCCTGAAGCGACTGGTTTGAACTAGGAAGTACCGACATTTAAAGGGCTCTATTTCCGGTTCATTTGGGAGTTTCCTGATTGGTCGTTTCGACCAGACGGGTGTGTTTTTGTGACGTAAGAGGTCACTAGGAGTCAGAAAAACAGCAAGAATGTTATGGAACAGATTGAAAATGTTTTTCAGACAGACGAGAGGAATATTTAGACGAGTTGGGTGAAAACAGGTGCCAGCTTCTCTATTTACGTCTGAGAGGATTTAAAAACATGACAGTTCGTTCCAACAACTTGTTTTGCGTTTGACTCCAACCTTGGACCAACTTACACTTGCTCATTCAAAGACAGAAAATCAGAAAATGCATAATTACTCTGTGACAGACCTTAACATGATTTCTACTTTGCATGAGGATTAAAAATCATTATTACTGTTTCACAGTTGATTTAAAATGAGTAGTTCACTTCAACATTTGGAAATGGTTTGAACTAACACAATTTGATTATCAAACATTTGTAAAATACTAATGATAATAGAAAGTAGTGTTCTTTCACTTGATTAATTCAAGAAAGAAAGTCTCAGGATGGGTCAACCTGTATTTCTGGATTCAAATCAATGAAATGGCAGTTTCTGTCCCATAAGGTCCTTAAGGTCAGGATTTGACCTCAGGCCTAGTTCACTACAACCTGCAAAGGCCTTTAAATGGTCTCAATCTAGTTCTGTAGGCTACACAATCATGGGGAAGACTGCTGCCTTGACAGTTGTCCAAAGGATGACCATTGACACTTTGCACAAGGAGGGCAAGACACAAAAGGTCATTGCTAAAGAGGCTGGCTGTTCATAGAGCTCTGTGTGCAAGCACATTAATAGAGAGGCGAAGGGAAGGAAAAGATGTGGTAGAAAAGTGTACAAGCAGTAGGGATAACTGCACCCTGGAGAGGATGGTGAAACACAATCCATTCCAAAATGTGGGGAGATTCACAAAGGGTGGACTGCAGTTCTGCACCTCTATGTCGACAGTCGAACAGTAAAACTGATATCGTTGAAACTTAACGTTTGAAGGTTCAAAAGTTGAGTTGTGATGTGCGTGAGATTTATTAAGATTTTTTGTTTCAACATGTTTGGTCACCAAATAAAATGTGATGAGTCTAGTTATAAATGTGCTCTTTTAATATTCTTTAATGAAATGAAAACTTCACCTAGTGATAAAAATCACATCGTTCCATACCACACCTACAAATATGAGATATCTACCGTATCTACATATTCCGAGTATTTCAGTGAGTGCTCTAAAACGATGTAAGCACATAGTTCTGACAGCATTGTTTCAAGTTTCCTTAAATAACAATGGGCTCGTTTAACATATTTTAATTTTTAAAGATGTCTCGCCAAGCTAAGAATGCACATGAAATAGACTTTTTAGCTTTTGCCAAAACTGCTTCAGTAGCTACAGTGTTGGATGAGGGTTTTCATTTACTTATTTATAAAAATTTAAAAAAAAGAATCCTAAGCCTACCACAGAATTGTGAGTTCTGTATCTTTAGTGCATTTTTTTCTTACATAGTTGCACAGCTGTGTCAATAACAATTGCCCTGTCTGTATGCACTGTACAAACTGCAGGACTACCCTTGTTTTACATTTAATCCTTTAATTGCTCTCAGTCTGGCCCATCCTTTGACAGACTTCTCTGATGATTGTCACACTGTTGTACCCCATGACAGCATGATTTTTAAATTTAGCAATGCAGGTGATTTTAGTTTTACGATGCATATTTTCACTCCAGAATGAGCAACGTTTTTTTGTGCTCTTTGACCCTGTGCTGACGGGTCATCATCATGTGCTTCCTGCTGAACACAGCGGGACCATCAGCAGTACACCCAACAAGAGACACTTGGGAAACACAAGCAGCCTCCATGTCATGGAGTTTAACAAAAAGTAACGCTGAATTGTTTAACTAAATAATGAATAAACGTCAATTTTGATCAGATTTTTATGCATCTTAAATATTTGAATACTTTTAAAAAAAATTGTGTTGGGTCTAAATAAAAGACACGGACACAAAGAGTGAGATTTTTCTTTGCAAAGAGGAAGAGCAGTCCTAAGAGACTTTGAAGTTCTGCTTCCTTCTCTCCTCTTTCGATTCATTTCAAAGGAGCAGTATGTGTGATTGTATAGCGTGATCAATAACATTTAGAGCAAAGGGTCATAGTCTGTTTCCAAAAGTACAGGGTGACATTAGCAGAGTGACATAATTTCACAACATATATTTGTACAAGCTGTTATATTGGTGGGTGGTTTAAAGGTTACAAGTGCTGAAAACTTTTTTTCTCTGGAACTTTCCACTGAAGAAGTCACTGAAATTATCATGAAATTAAATGATCACAAAAGAAAACATAAAAATAAACATAAAATAATTGAGTGTCAAACATAAAAAGAACAAAGACAAACTGTTCCAACATTGTGATTTACTTATTTTAGTCATGACACAGCGTAGCTGAATTATGCTGAAATATTTTGCTCGACAATGAAGACGCCTACGATAATTTCAAATGACGTCTATGGAAAATGATGTTAAAACAATAAAAATTGCAAAAAGTAAAAAGCTGCATGAAAAATGCTAAACATTAATGCCATTGTCAATGTCCAGCTTTATTTCTGCATCTCGTTTGTGTTGGAAGAAAACTCCCTCGTACGGTTTCAAATCCAAAGCTGGTGCGAAGGAAACTGATGGATCTGACTCAAATAGAACCAAATTGTTGGAGGAAAACACTCTTAATGAGGTTTACTCAAATGAACCACACCCACACACGGCAGATGATTTATCTCCAGCACCATTTTACTTCTCTTTACTGCTCTTCAATTTTACTTCCTCTGGCTAACCTCAGGGATGTGTGTTGAGCTCCCTCCTGTTCACTCTGCTCGCATATGACTGTGTACCTATCCATCCAGGCTGTCCTACTGTAAAATTTGCAGACGATACAGCAGTGTGAGTTCTGCTACAGGCAGGAGGTGGAACACCTGGAGAGCCTGTGCCGGAAGAACAACCTTCACATCAATGTGAAGAAGACTGAGACAATTGTGGATTTCAGAAGGAGCCAACACACCTCATCATCAACATTTATTTATACAGGCTAGTTTCATTGAGTCACGAGGACTCATTTACAAGAGGGACCTGTTCCAGACAGAACATAAAATACAGAACAGTACACTCCACCCCCAAATATAGAAGGATCTGCAGTGGAAGTGGTCTCCAGCTACAAGAACTTGGGAGTAAACTCGAATAACAACTTCAGCTGGGGCAACAACACCACCAGCCTGATCAAGAAAGCTCATCAGCAACTTGAATTCCTCAGGCGGCTGAGACGAGCTGGACTGGGAAGCTCAGGCCCTGTTTACATGGAAACGATTTCTGGTGAAAATGGAAGAGTTTCGTTGCATTTGTACTGTTCATTTACACAAAAATAGCGAATGTTTCCTCTGACGACACAATTTGAGAACGGCTTCCAGAATGCAATGGTTCAAAAATGTTGCGGTGTCCGTTGTTGTGTAAACAGAAAAAACAGATGTTTTCTGTCATCGAATCACTGGCTCATGCGCAGTATGACGCAAAACAAAACAGCTTCCTACAATCCACAGAAAAATAAACTATCGACAATGACAGATGACAGAGTATTGTTTGTGCTTTTGACTCTTATAAATTTATAAAGCTAACTTCCCCGGACTGCTTTCAGTTTGGACATCACCTGGGCTTTTGTTATGGCAGTTTACTCGTGAAAGAAACATTAGAACGTTTAGAACTTTTTTTTTACGCATGCGCACTTACTTTCAGGTTTCAAAGAACATAGCACCAACTAGTGGCATAGCAAGGGAATTACACCTATTCCATGTCTACGGTTGCTGTGTAAACAACGAGACTGCAATTAGAACATTTTCATGTAAATGTGTTAATCGGAATGGGGGAAAATTCAATTGTCATTGGATTGTCGTGGTGTAAACAGGGCCTGAGTCCTCAGCTCCTTCTACAGGTGTGCAGTGGAGAGCATCCTGTGCTCCAGCATCAACGTGTGGCGTGGAGGCTGCACAGCTGCAGAAAGAAAAGCTCTGCAGAGAGTGGTGAAGGCTGCACAGAAGACTGTCGGAGTCAGTCTCCCCACCATCTACACCTCCAGATGCAGGAAGAGAGCCACCTGCATCATGAAGGACCCCACTCACCCAGCACACACACTTTTTGCCCCGCTCCCCTCAGGCAGAAAGTTGCAGAGCATTAAGTGTAGAATCACTAGACTGAGGAACAGCTTCTACCCTGAAGCTGTTAGACTCATAAATCCCTAACCAGGAAAATCACTGCAATGCCACTTTAATTGGAGATTTGACACTTTGTGCTGGTGATTTCTTACCCATAAGTTTTTATATTCATCCCCATCTGCTCACAACAGACTCATGTTCAGGCTGCTGTTTAATACACGGAATTATATTACAATATTATTGTTTAGCGTAGCTTAGATCCTTGTGTACTGTTTCTTTTTTATACTTTATATTTTTTGCTATTTTTGGGTGTAAATGGGATCTTGAGTATACAATTTTGTTCCATCACCACATGTGATGCAAATGACAATAAAAGAACCTTCAAACTTGAACCTACTTGCAAGGGCAGATATCAGAACAGTTCACATCAATATACATTAAATGTATGCACATGAAGCCCGGTCACAATGATCTGCAACGTACTGCATTGTCGGCTCACTTTTTATATCCCTATCAGCTTGACAAAGTTTGAGTGGATGTCCTTGGAGTTAGCTGTAGGCTCACATGTCACTCCTGGTCTTCACAGATACGATCCATGGGCAGCTCTTCAGGATAAGAGAGTGTTTTGGGAAACAATTCAGTTGTTTGTTTTAAGGGAAAGAATGCTGGGAATAATGTGTTCATAACTCCATAACCTCTGACCAAAATCCTCTGACAGTTTGCATGACACACATCAGAAACTGTCAAATATCCAGCCTAAGACTAACCTGAAACCGCTGCTCTGCTCGACTGCACCATTTATACGTTTAACGACTTGATTACAAACCTGTACTAATAATAATTCACCACAGTTCATCCATTTTCTATCCACTGTAATCCTTTGCATTCTTGAGAGATTGTGATGATGCCTCGTCAACCAACAGGTGGGAGGACAGGTGATCCTGGAAAGTTTGATGGTTCCACCAGTTCTACCGGTCCACCATATTAAGTGAACTTTTCTGTGGCTTTTAATTACAATTAACGCTTTGAGCTTTTTAAGCAAATGGTTATTTATGCAATCTAGCATGTTTTTCATGTTTGGGGAGGGGTGGTGCAGAGGTAAAAGAAGCCGAGCCTGATCAGGAGGTCGCTGGAAGGAATTCCTTAACTCTTACATCAAAAGCTGAGTTTTAAAGTTGCAGCACAAGCCTACATTTGTCCCACTCTAGGCCCTTGAGCAAGACCAACCCCCCCCCCCCCCCCCCCCCCCACACACACACACACACCCCTCTGGTTCCCTATCAGCTGTTTGCTCCACACATGTGGGCTGTGGAAGCCCAGTGTGGTCCCAGCAGGTAAAGGATGTTTATCAAACTGGTTTCATTTTTATTGCCTACCTTTTAATTTTAATTAAAGATATAATAATAATTAAAAAAAAATACAAATACAAATAATAATTTTTACATACAAGTACTTATGTATTTTAATAGCTGGTTTTATATATTCATATGTATATATGTGTATGTATATAGATAGGCCTATACATAGACAGAGAGAGAGAATGTAAAGGTTTATTGTTAAGTTCATTAATTCTTAAAGTGTTTCACAAGAAAATACATAATAAATGTTCCACAAATACAAAAAGAGTTAAAAACCTAATTAGACAGTGTCTTAAAAAGAGCTTAAACAATAACAAGTCTAAATTTAAAAAGTAAAATAATAATAAATTAAATAACCGAAGCTGTAACCTTAGAACCGAATTAAAACATAAGAAACTGCCATACCTTTGTTAAGAACATGAAACTAGATCCTGCTTGTCAATCAGTGTAAGTGATGTTCAAAGAACAGGCTCTATCATCATGTTTTCAGAGCCTTCATTCTGTTCAAATGCTTTGTTTTAGCACTAAAACCCAACAAAGTAGATAAGAAGAGTTGTTTTTTTTTTCTAGTTCATGCCTTTCATTCCTTTTCAACTTGCAGCCTGAAAATCATTGAAAGACGCTCGCACGCACAAACTGGACTTTCTTTTGTGTGCAGTAATTTCTTGCTGTCTGACGTCATCATGCAAATGAGACTCATCCAACATGTTGCTATAAAAGACAACTGGCCCTGCGTCAAGGCCTCTTCCCCTCCACCAGCCCCTGCTGTCCCCTTCATCACTGCTTTGCTTAGATAATCATACGATTATTAGTATTATTTTAAAACCAGCTGTAATTATTGAATTTATCAAGATGCCTTTAACTTTCGAGCTTTGTCCCGGACGGATGATCGGAGGAGAGCACCCGTGTTTCATCATCGCTGAAATCGGACAGAACCATCAGGGAGACATTGAGATTGCCAAGAAAATGATCAAAATGGCAAAGGTAAAAAAAAAAAAAACAGAAGTAAGGTTTCTTTTAGGATTAAGTGTCTTCTCTATTTTTAAAAGTTATTACACGACTAAAGCAGTGAATCCAAAGTTAAGCTTTTTTTTTAGTTAAAATCTAAAAATAAAAACAAGGAACAACAACAAAAAAAAACGTATTAATCATCAATATTACATAAATATGTATAACCTACCTTGTATTTACTGTTGGTTTACATGAAAAAAAACTTTTTTTTTCCTATATAAATGAGAAAATAAATAATATAGAGCATCCAGAATGTCAGATTTACGTCACAGGTTGTTCTTCCTTTGGCAGCTGGAAAGTGCTCTGAAGCTTTTGAGCATGATGGGAGGGGAGTGGGGTGGAGGAGGTGGGGTGTTCATTTGTAAACAGGTTGAGCTACTTTTAAATGAAATCAATGAGGTCAGAGCATATTCTGGACCCGTCTAAAGCTGTGTTCTTTATTTTAACCATAAAAGAGACAAAATAATCCCAAACGTTTATTAATATTATTCATATTTTACATGATTTATTAAAAAAAGGGGGGGGGGGGCATTTTGGACTTAAGGCTTTCTTTCTTTCCAACTTTCACCTTAATGTCCGCAGTCGTCCAGAAATGCGCTAAATTCGATCTAAAAGTCAATTAATGTCTAAAGCACATTTAAAAAAAACTCCTACCTTTAGCTGATATTAAGAGGAGCCCCTTGTAGACAGAGTCCTGCTGCAGAAAGCGGGGATTGAACCCGCGACCTTTGCCTGTCCGCATATTTTATAGCAAATTGTCACCTCCTACAAAACACAGAGTTTATGAAGGTGTTGCATTGCACAATACTTTGGTGTCTCTTGCTGTCAGCACCTGTAAATAAAAGCAGACTCTGCTGCTGTTTGACAGTAAAATGTGGTTTTCTAACAACAGATCTCCTTTCAATCAAGTACAACAAATAAATGTGCATTTTGATGATGAGCTGGGGGGGTTTATATAACAGCAACAATGACATTATGCCAAGTTATTGGTCACATGACTATACTGTCCCGGGAAAGTTGACAAGAAGAACCATCCAAACAGAATTTATTTAATTTATCTGTTGCTCTTGAAAGTCGTTTATATATTCACTATAAACATTTTACATGTTATTTTATGTTTATCTTAAATAATTTATTGCATAAATTAGTGTGACTGTTCAAATGAGTGACAGTTATTAGAAGATAAGTCTTAGGTGGACTCTTTGGGTTTGGTGAGCGCATCTTTGTGGTCAACCCGAGCGCAACACCATCACAAGATTTTTAGTGGCAGACGTCATACTGTGCAGAAAAACTGGTTCATGCATTTGTCACATCTAGACTGGACTATTGCACTGGTTTATTATCTGGGTGTCCAAATACTTCTTTAAAACGTCTTCAGTTAATTCAAAATGCTGCTGCCAGAGTCTTGACTGGAGTTAGTAGGAGAGATCATATCTCTCCAGTTTTAGCTTCTCTCCATTGGCTCCCTGTCAAATCCAGAATTGAGTCTTACTTCTAACCTACAAAGCTCTCAACAACCTAGCTCCATCTTATACTCAAGATCTTATTGTTACATGTTTTCCTAACAGAGCACTTTGCCCTCAGACTGCAGGCTTACTCGTGGTTCCTAGAGTTTCCAAAAGCAGAATGGGAAGAAGATCTTTCAGCTATCAGGTTCCTCTCTTCTGGAACCAACTTCCAGATTATGTCCATGAGGCTGACACATTGTCCAGTTTGAAGACTTTCCTTTTGGATAAATCCTATAGTTAGGGTTGGCTTGTTATGCTGCTATAGGCTTAGACTACTGGAGGACAAATGATCTCATTTCTTAAAATTTATTTTTACAATTGAATAGTTTTCATTTAATACTATTTCTATATTAATGTGATTCTTGACCTGCCATTGTGTATCTGTTCCTCCTTCCTGTTCCTGTCAAACCCAGCCAGTCGAAGCAGATGGCCACTTGTCCTGAGACTGGTTCTGCTAAATGTTTCTTCCTCATGAGGGAGTTTTTCCTTTCCACTGTCACCTTCATTCTTGCTCAAGATGAAAGTTATGTGATGATGTTAAATTCAAAGCAGTCTGCTCCTCAGATAAATAATGTTAAATTATTATTTTTATATATATGAATATTTCTGTTCAGTGGACTGAGATGACTTCTGTTGTGACTTGGTGCTATACAAATAAACTGAATTGAATTGAATCCTTCTTTTTTCGTTTTGGATGTCAAGAGTTGACGTCTCGTGACCCAAAGGTTGTGGGTTCGAGCCCAGGGTGCGTCAGGAAGGGCATCCTGCGCAAATTTTCAGTGCAAGTTCCATGACGACCCCTGCCGAGAGGAGCAGCCGAAAAAAAAAAAAAACCCAATATTGAAGTTTTTGTTTTTTCCCGTCCTGCACAGAGCTGCGGTGCCGACTGCGCCAAGTTTCAGAAGAGTGAGCTGGAGAACAGGTTCAATAAGAAAGCCTTGGAGCGTCCATACAACTCCAAAAACTCCTGGGGGAACACTTACGGCGAGCACAAGCGTCATCTGGAGTTCAGCCATGACCAGTACAGAGATCTGCAGAGATATGCAGCTGAGGTGGGGATCTTCTTCACAGCTTCAGGGATGGACGAGGTAAGAAGAAAAACACATCAGGGTTGTCTTGCTTTGAGTATCTGAGAGGTTTAACTACAACTTGTCTGTTTTTTTTTAAGATGGCAGTGGATTTTCTCGACAACATTAACGTGCCTTTCATCAAAGTGGCGTCCGCAGACACGAACAACTTCCCCTATTTGGCACAAACAGCCAAAAAAGGTGAGCTAGCATAAGCAAACTTTTTCCACTGATTGTCTCTTTAGCTGCATAAAGACTGGCTTTCATAACGTGCAAAAAATACTTTTTGCCCTCCTGGTCCATAATCACCACTAATTCACTACATTGTGTACAACAATACAGCATTTAAGGACAACTTAAAGAGGAAGCAATGATGGTAAAATGACTTATTGTTTGAAAACTTATTTTGCGGAACAAACATCTTAAATACTCACTGAAAAGTATTGCTGTGACAGTGGTCACCATATGTGTCTTCTAGCATCTACTGTTCTACATAAAATATTTATCAGGTTGTCCATTTTTGTCCGTGTCAGGTCGTCCCATGGTGGTGTCCAGTGGGATGCAATCCATGGAGACGGTGCGTCAAGCCTATAAGACGGTGAAAGAGCACAATGAAAACTTTGTTATTCTTCAGTGCACCAGCACCTACCCTTTGAATCCTGATGAAGTCAACCTCAGAGTAATCAGGGTAAATAAAGTGTCCAACTTTATTAGAAAAAGTTGCTGTGGCGATATGTGTTGAACTCTTTTCATACTTGTTGTACACACCATCCCATCTCAGCAGATTTCTTTTAAATAACTGATTCCAAAACTCCTTCATTCAAGAATAATTCTTATTTACTCCAACGACTGACTTGTTGTCTGCAGGAATACCAGAAGGAGTTTCCAGACATTCCCATTGGGTATTCTGGCCACGAAACTGGAATCAGTATTTCAGTGGCTGCCGTGGCTTTGGGCGCAAAGGTTGTTGAGCGTCACGTAACTTTGGACAAAATGTGGAAAGGAAGTGACCATGCGGCCTCGCTGGAGCCTACTGAACTGGCCGAACTGGTTCGCTCCATTCGTCTCGTGGAAAGGGCGATGGGAAGTAGCATCAAGCAGATGTTGCCCTCCGAGAAGTCGCTATTTGTCAAGGTTAGTTGAACTCTCTTCGCTGAAGAATTATATCAAGGTTCACCAACGGAAATTCATGTTTTTCATCAAGTTAGCCTGAGAACGTTTCAGCTGAAATATCCTCATTGTTTTGCTTCCAGCTGGGAAAGTCAGTGGTGGCCAAAGAAAACATCCCCAAAGGAACAGTCCTGACTCTGAACATGTTAAGAGTGAAGGCGGCCGAGCCCATTGGCATTCCAGCCGAGGACATCTTCCAACTGGTCGGAAAGAGCGTGACGAAGGACGTGGAGGAGGACGAGAGCATTGTGTCTGGCGTAGTGGACGGCTATGTCAAGAAGGCCAAGTGCTGAAAACAAGAGGGGTTTAAAAGAGCCGAAAAAGCTCTTACTTTGAAAGGTTTTGTGTAGATTTATGAAACGATGTGGAAGATTCAGTCATGACTAATGACGTTGCTTTCATTTTATTCAGGTGGGTTTTTAGACAAATGGATTATGGGTTCATCTGAGCTCTTCTATTACTACATATTTTTGTATATTTTGTTATTTTGAGCCTGACAATATTACATTTTCAAAAGTGTATAGTTTTCTGTGATCCTGGCTCCGATCGCTCCAGAAGATCAACGACAGTTTCAGCTCTGCGGTCAGGGCTGTTACAGTTTTTTTTTTTTTTTAAGAAGTTGCACATCCGTCAGGTTTTGTAAAATAGTCATCGGATTCAATCATAGCCTGCTTTAGTGAGAACAAACTACAACCCATTTATGAAAAGTGCGCGGCCAATAATGATGTTATTCAAAAAAGCAAAAGCAGAACCTGTTTGTCCAGATGTACAGAATGCTTTAAGAGAGGTCACATTAGACAAGTGAAGCCAAACAAAAAATATTTAAAATCATACGCAAAAGAAAATATTACCAGATATATGTATATACCATACCATCCATCCATCCATCCATCCATCCATTATCTTTACCCGCTTATTCCATTTTGGGTCACGGGGGTCGCCGGTGCCCATGTCCAGCAATCACTGTGCGAGGGGCGGGGTACACCCTGGACGGGTCGCAAGTCCATCACAGGGCCACATAAAGACAAACGAGACAAACAACCATTCACTCTCTCACTCACACCTAGGGACAATTTAGAGTTACCAATCAGCCTAACATGCATGTTTTTTGGTCTGTGGGAGAAAACCGGAGTACCCGGAGAAAACCCACGCATGCACGGAGAGAACATGCAAACTCCACCCAGAAAGGCCCCTGGACCGGGGTTTGAACCAAGGACTTGCTCGCTGAGAGGCAGCAGCTCTACCAGTTGCGCCACCGTGCTGCGTATATACCATACCATACTATTTTATTTATAGAGCACTTAAAACAGCTACAAGGCCAACCAAAGTGCTGTACAGACAGAACAACAGACAACACACAAAGCAATATACAAAATGAAGTAAATCAGAATATAGACATAAAAACGATGCAGATAATAAATATGACAACAAACCAGTGTGGAGCGTACATGTTCAAAACACAGATCCTCTGGTGTTGAAAGCTACTGAATAGTAGTGGGTTTTTAAACGGGATTTGAAAACCGAGAGAGAGGGGGCCTGTCTGACAAGCAGAGGTAACTCGTTCCAAAGTATTGGTCCTGCTACAGAGAAGGCCCTGTCACCTCTGAGTTCCTGGAACTGTGAGGAGCAACTGGTCCGCTAACCTCAGGGAACGTGGAGGGACATACGGTTGTAGCAAATCAGAGAGATGAGGGGAAACTGTTCAACAATTTTTAGACATACAGGAGTATTTTGAACTGGATTTGAAGGTGAACCGGTAGCCAGTGCAGGGAGGCCAAAACTGGTGTAATGGCTCTCTTTTGCCTGTACTGGTTAAAAATCGGGCTGCTGCATTCTGGACCAGTTGTAGTCGTGCAATGGAGGTTTGACTGATACCAAACAGGAGCGAATTGCAGTAATCCAGCCTAGATGTAATGAATGCATTTATTACTGTCTCCAGGTTATTTTTGGAAAATAAGGGCTTCAGTTTAGACAGCTGCCTCAGTTGGAAGAAACATGATTTAACAATCATGTTTACATGATTGTTAAGTTTCAGGGAAGGGTCCATTATTACTCCCAGATTAGTGACTCTATATATATTTTAATATATTATGAAATCCTATTCTAGTGCCACCCACATATCACTTGGTCTAGTAATTCAAGTTTCCTTCTTATAGATGCCACTGACAAACATTTGTGATGCTAACAGATTTATACCTGAGTTCTGACATAAACTAATAAAATATTGTCAAACACTGATGTTCCTACAATTATTTCAAACCTTCCCTCTTCCTTGTCGACAGTAATGTCAAACTGGTTCAAAACCAAAAAAGTCCATGCTCAATAATCCAGGAAGAGGGCTGGCAACTGAGGAGGGGGCGTGCCAAAGACATCATCTTAGCACCAACATAACTGGTTTGTTCCACTTTGGAGTAAGCTGTTTGGGGGAAGAATCAGTTTTGTGTTGTGTGTTTCCTTGACTGATGAAGACTTCCGGATGGAAGGTGAAACGTTTCAGCAAAAAAAGAAACTGTCCAGATGACCTGACTGAAAGTTGTTGAGTAGTGTTCAATATTTTTCATGTCAAAATGAATGAAATCATCAAATCTCAGTCAAAAATTGGGTTATAAATACATGGGGTGGGGGTAGACGTAAATAAGTCGCATCGCATGTGTAAAAAAAAAAAGTCTATGATAATTCAGAGCTATACATAGAGACTAAAATCCAAACAAATAGCAGAGCTTATATAGAAGGCTAGCCTGTGATCGGAAGGTTGTTGGTTCGACTCCTCGGACCGACAACATCAAAATGTGGGTGGGAAAGGTGAAGCACTCACACCTGCCTCCACCCTCATTCGCCCCACCCTGGACCATTGAGCAAGGCCCTTAACCCCCACCATCTGCTCCCGCGGGTGTCCTAGATGACAGCTCTCTGCTCCACACAGAAGGCTGTGGTACCTCGATGGTCTGTGGTTGTGCCACAATGACCCTCAAGTGCTGTGGCAACCCCTGAGGAAGAGTGCAGCCAAAAGAAAAATAATAATACATTTCATTTCACAATAATGTATGCCAATCTTAGTCATTCATTCTACCTTTATTTATACAGGTTAATCCCATTGAGTCTCGGGGGCTCATTTACAAGAGGCTTGATTTTAATAAAGAGTGATGACAACAGTAGACAATCATAAAAACATACAAATTGAGAAGAACAAATAAAAGAAAATTGTGGTTAAAAAAAAAAAACAGCTAGATTGTAAGGCGGTGTAGAATACTAAAACAGGAACATGTCTGCATAGGTTTTTGCCAGGAACTTAGCAGATGTTTGAAGCCACTTAGAGAGGTCAAGGTCGAGAGCTTCAGTTCTTTTTGCAAGATGTTCCAGGAAACAAGAGCGGAGTAGGAGAAGGCCCTTTTGCCTAGTTCAGTCCTCACTGAGGGAACACTGCAGGTAATAATGTCCTGAGAGCGCACGCTGTAGCTGCACTCACGCAGTGACGTATAGGAGATGTATGAAGGCAACAGACGAAGGAGTGATTTAAAGATGAAAACGTACCAATGAGAGAGTCTGTGTGAAGTTAATGATGACCAGTTAACCAATGAGACTATTAAAAAAGAAAGATGTTTAGGTTCTGATCTTGTGTGTCTTTCTTTCAGTCTGATGCCTTATGTTGATCTGTTGAGTCATATTGGACTAGGAGACACTAAATGGATATTATGGAAATATTGGAAGATATGTATGAGCAACTGAACAGGCAACAGAAAAGTAAGAGCATGACAAAACAATGTGGGTGGAATGAATGACCATAACAGTGAGTCAGTACAGTTCGTTCAAATGTCATCTGATATTAGAGTAAATCATGGAGGAAGCTCGTTATCACCTGAAGTTAAAAGCAGAATTTTGTTCTCTGGTCTAACTTTGAGATGACATGAGCCAACATTATACTAAAGATGCATCATAAACATACATCATAGACCATTCAGGCTGCTTAAAAAAAAACTGAAAAGTGTAATGTGTAAATGTATATTTTGGAACTAAATAAAAACGTCATCAATGTCAATGTCAATTCCTCCCCACCATCACAGACATTTACACCTCCAGATGCAGGAAGAGGGCCACCTGCATCATGAAGGACCCCACTCACCCAGCACACACACTTTTTGCCCCGCTCCCCTCAGGAAGAAGGTTGAGGAGCATTAAGTGTAGAACCACTAGACTGAGGAACAGCTTCTACCCTGAGGCTGTTAGACCCATGAATCTCTAACCAGAATAATCACTGTGAAAAATCACATCACCCTGCTGATCTGTTTCATGTTGCTGCTGATCTGTTCCATGTTGCTGCTGATCTGTTTCATGTTGCTGCTGATCTGTTTCATGTTGCTGTGTTCATTCGTACTCTTCTGCTCACACAGACTCATGTTCGTGCTGCTGTTCGGCATATTGTTTTTATACTACTAGTGCTTAGTGTATTTTTTAGTTTAACGTTTTTCTTAGTTCATATCTTAGATCTTATTACTGTTTTTCTTTTACATTTTATACTTTTGTTGGATGTAACTGGGACCCTGTGTACACAATTTCATTCCACTTAATGTACCACATGTACCACTTCATGTACCACACGAATGGTTGCAGTATGCATGTAATGAAATATGCTGAAAAAACTTGAAGAAACAGTTCACAGGTCAAAAACGGCCCATTTGTGGGAATTATGTACTTGTGGCTGTTAATGCAATTGCTTGACTTGTGCAGCTTTTGGCTTTTTCCCAGATTGTTCGTCCTGCTATGATGATGTACAGAGTCATGTTTTCCATCCTCTTGGCATTTTCAAACTTCTAAATAAGAATAGACACAGTTTTGTGGTGGTGACCTTTAATTTTGTTTGGTTCACTTACTCTGCCAAACCAGAAGATAGATGCAATATATCTTCATTTTCTCCATTTTGATTTTTGTATGCCATTTTAGTTGTGGCAGAGTTTGTTCTTGAGTGCATGGGTTGGGGCAAGAACAAAAGAAGCGAGACAAAATTAAGTTAAACATGTCAGTGCCATTGTATGGGCAGGTGTAGTAAAGGCCCTTTTGTGTTTAACAATTATCTGCATCTTGTTCTACAAAATGCTTTAGGATTGTGAAACTGATCCATTTTGAGTTATTATCTTTTCACAACTTGGATTGAGTTCTTTCATATTTTTTTCTGTTGATCTTTATTAAAAACGTGGGTTTTTTTTGCTTCTATGTGGTTGACAATTAAAATCAAGAAGAAGAAAAAAACATTTACAGGGAAAATGCACACCACACCTCTGGAAAAACCTCTGCTGCAACAGAACACATGGCTAGAACCCAGTATCGCTACCATTTTTCATTTGAGCTTGGTTAAAACAAACAAACAAACAAAAAAATCCTCGCATTTATTAATTTATTTTAAGTGAGACTTGACACTAGTTCTAGTTCAGAGGGTTTTAAGAAATGTTACTACCCGTACAGAACGGTAATAAGAACCGCATCTGATTTTTTTATTTGTTTGGATCCAGGTGACCAGAGGAACATTGTGTCTGCATAACAATGGTCGCGTAAAAAAAAAAAAAAAAAAAAAAAAAAGCAACACAAGCAACAAGATCATCTCACAGTCTCAAAACGCCCTAATCAGGATTTGGGTTTTATGGTTATTTTTTGTTAACTTCTATGTTTATTTTTAGGCTTGTATTCCCCTTTTGTTATCATGTTTGTTTTCTTAACCAAATTATAGATTAAATGTACTTCAAAGAAGGTAATAGAAAATGCAGACGGTGTAGTGGCTGAATTGTGTTCCCAGCCCTGAGAGGGTGCACAATCCCTCCAAAGAATTCTGGGTCTGTCCCTGGGCCTCGTTCTGGTGAGACACACCTGGAAAACCTCCAAAAAGAGGCGTTCAGGATGCGTCCAGATGCCTGAACCTGAGTTGACTCCTGAGTTGACTCCTTTCAATATGAAGAAGCAACGGCCCTACTCCGAGCAGGAAGACAGAGCTCCTCCTTCTATCTCTAAGGCTGAGCCCGGCCACCCAATAAAGGAAGATCATTTTGGCGGCTTACGTACGGGATCTTGTTCTTTTGGTCATGATCCAAACCTCATGACCAAAGGTGAGGGTTGAAACATAGACATACCAGTAAATTGAGAGCTTTGCCTTTCGACTCAACTCTTCACTGTAGGAGTTGTGGTTTTGTCCCCGGTGCTGTGTTTATGTCTGCGTTCCCCTGGTCCTCATTTTCTGTTTTTTTTTTTTTTATAGGGTTTGTGTTTTCCTACTGTATGCCTCCATCTGGTATTGTGGACTGCACTCCCTGTTTTCCCATTTTATCATTTCCCCTGATATGTTTCAGCTGCGTGTCCTCACAGGTATTTGGTCTTGTTAGTCATTGTATATAGTCTGTGCCTCTGTGTTAGTGCTTTGTCCTGGCATTGTCTTATGTCCATGATGATTTGTCTGTTATGTAAGTACCTCCTGTTTATGCATGTTTATTTTGCTGCCCTGTTAGCTCTTTTGCTTTGTTAATAAATTCTTTATTTTTCATTATCGCCTGCTTGCCTGCACCATTGGGTTCCCCTGCACCAGCCTTTTGTGACATTCACCACAATGGACTGAAGCAATGCCCTCAATGCCTGATCTGTCTCCCACTCCATCCTACCATCACTTATGAACAAAACACACAGATACTTAAATGTCTCCACCTGGGGCAAACATGCCTGAAAACATCTCCTCCTGACCTGGAGGGGGCATTACACCCATTTCTAGTTGAGAACCATGTCCAAGCTTCAGACAATATGACTGGTCAGGCACAGGCGTTACTGACAGTTATATTGTACTTCAGGAAAGTTCAGCTGTTTCTAATGTTCTATAGCATTTCTGAATCCTATTTCTTGCTGTATTGCAAATTTATATGCACCTTTTTAAAAAAAAAAAAAATACATCACTTGCTTGCTACCATATCCTTAAAAACCTGTTGTGTACAATCAAGTTTAAACCAGTTTACGTTTAAGCTTATAACATCTTAACTATGCATGAGTGTGCTTGGAGAACTGGAAAATGCTGATAACAGACACTGATGATAAATAAGATTAATTTTGCACTGTTACATGAAGTTCAGCTCCTTTTCTTATACTTGAGTTGGTGTACGCCACAATGACTGCACCTTAGCTGTCTGTTCACCTGTTCAGTTTGTGCAGCTTTTTGCTTTTCTGTCAGATTGTTCACTTTGAATCGGTAATGGACAGCACAGCAATCATCAACACAATTTGTCCAGTATGAGGTTGAATCAGACCATTTCTCCCATATTCACCTTTAATGTGATAGTGAATTAAACCAAAATGTTCAGCAAGAGTGAAGATGTGCCAAAAGATTTAATTTCCACCAGTGGTTGACTCAACAAGCACAAGCTGGTTTACAAGGATTGCAATCAGTTTTGGAGATGCGCTCTCTCTTGATCTTCACAATAGTTTTTAAACCCCTTCCCAATGCCTTATGTGTTTTAGATGAAACAAGTGATTAACATAACATCAAGGTCCGTGTTTCATCTAAAACATGTAAGACCTGCAAAGACCTGTCATTATTCAGGTCACAAATCAAAAGCAAAGATCTAAAACATGCTAGGAAGTTTGTCCTTGAACACCAGGGCTGGTAAACATGTAATAACCACTAAACATGCTAGTTCATTATACTTTTGAGTTCATAGCATTTCAATGTGGTGCAACGACAACAGTCTAAGTCTGAATACATTAAAGACGAAGGAGCTAGTCATTGATTTTAGAAAAGTGAGAAATGACATTCTTATAACTATCAATGGGGACTGTGTGGAAAGGGTCACAGACTTTCACTTCCTGGGTATTCATATCAAGGAGGACCTAACCTGGGGTGTGAACATCAAGGAACTAAAAAAAAAGGCACAGCAGAGACTCTACTTCCTGAGAATGCTCTGGAAAAATAACATTTATCAGAGGCTGCTGGTGTCCTTCTACCAGTTCCACCATAGAGAGCATCCTCACTCACGGACTCGGTGTGTGGTTCTCCAGCTGCACTGCAGCACACAAAAAAGAACTACAGAGGATTGCGAGGTCGGCAGAAAAAAAAATCATTGCATGCTCTCTACTCACCCTGGAGGACCTACACAGCTCTCGTTGTTTTCAGAGAGCTCACAAAAATTGTTATGGACGATGCCCACCCCGGTCACCATCTCTTTGAGCTATGACCATCAGTCAGACAGATCCTTTATAAACTCTGTTCTTATATCCATTTTAAATAGAACGCAGGTCAGTGTAATATTTTACTTTGCACTATTTTACTATTTTACTATTCACTGATACACGGGCAATGTGCAGTTTTTGCTCCGGAGCTGTTGTGCAATCTAACAGTATTTCTAACTGTCATCTAATTGTATTTACAGTCCAACAGATAGTAATAATGTACTTTATTGCCAAAAATCTAGCAATTTTATTTTTCCTTGTCGCTTAATGTTATGCTTTTATGTTGAAAACACTTTCGGCTGCCGCGTCATCGCGTAAGGGACACGTCATGCGGAAGTTGTGCATTTCTTCGTAATTCACGTCGCGTCCTTTCATTCATCGGCCTGTTTTGTTCAGTAATTATATTCACCAGTTGTAAATATTGAATTTACCAAGATGCCTTCAACATTCGAGCTTTGTCCCGGACGGATGATCGGAGGAGACCACCCGTGTTTCATCATAGCTGAAATTGGGCAGAACCATCAGGGAGACATTGAGATTGCCAAGAAAATGATCAAAATGGCAAAGGTAAATGAAAGTAAGGTTAAGTTGGGACAAATGGTCTCTGAGCAGGTTTGCACCAATTTTAAGTCGTTGCACTCCTCGGTTCTTACTTTTCTTAAACTTTGACCAAAGCAAAGGGAGTGCAACAAAGTTTAATAATGACCACAATCTGTAAAACATATGGATTTAGGTATTATCATTTGGGTTAAGAAGGGGGCTCAACTCATCGCTTAAATGGGCTAGGTATCTGTGTTCCTCAGTTGCTGCATAAAATGTAGATTTTTGTGAAAGTGCTGTGTTTTTCAAAATGGGAGCCGCGGCCTCCTGGGGGCCGCCAGGGGGCGCTAGGGGTCCCCAGAAAGCTGTAGAGACGACAATAAAAAGCAACAACCAAAAAAAGTAATAATAATTAGGCCTGTCGCGATAAACAATAAATCAATGAATCGCATGATAAATGAAAATAACCGACCTCATTTTCATTCATCGACTTTATCGTTTCTTTGTGTCTCTCTCTTTCTACTGAAGACACTGGATGACAAAAGGCACAACTCTCTTTTCTCTTTAAAATCTTTTTTTAACCATCCAAAAAAAAGCTACGAACTAAGCTAACAGGCCTCCGTCTTGTCGACGCTCCAAAATGTACGTGCCTTCGTCTAAAAAGTTGTTTTTCTCTGCAAAAAGAAGCTGAGAACTTGTTTACTGATTTTTTTTTAATTAAAAGCTTTGTGTGAAAAGTGCTATGATAAAGAGCTTAAACCACATGAGCAGTCGCTATTTTGAGAACAGAAAAAAAGGAAAGAGAGACAGCCCATGCCACTTCAAGGGGCCTCCCTCCCATTTGACACGCTGCTCACTCCCTCACTATCCATCCTTCAGTTCAAACAATCTTATACTGCCATCTGGTGGTCAAAAAAAGGTACTGTATGCAAAACAAATTAAAACATTTCTTCTTAAATTTGACAATAATTACTAATTATTGTCAAATTTCAAACAATATTATTGTTTATCGCAATAATTTCTGAGACAGTTAATTGCCCAGCAATTTTTTTTATTGTGACAGGCCTAATAATAATAATACAAATTGCCCACTAGGGCAATCTGTATCTGTCATTTCCAGATAAACACACTTGAGAGAGAGAGGTTAGATTTCTTTTGTTTTGTTCTTCTGGTCAACAGTTTGTTGAAAAGTTTTTGTTTTTTTCAGTGGGAATATAAAACCGTGTTTAAAACATTGTAGTTAATAACATTTTTATGCTCAGCAGCTGTAATAATTAATTGAATGTAGTGAATAAAAGTTAAAACATTCTAAAAGTTGATGTTTCTTTACATATTTTGTATCATTATTTGTGGTTTGCGAGGGGGGTCTCAGCCAGCAGCTAGTGCTGTTTGGGGGGGCCATGGCATGGAAAAGTTTGGGAACCCCTGGTCTAGTGATCATGAGGGTCTGTTGACGAGTTCACATCATTGATGCTCTTATTTACTGTTATCTACATAGAACAGAAATCACCATTCAATGGAAAACTTTGAAAGACTTCCAGAAAACGTTAGTCAGCTCAGGGAGGTCAAGCTCCTTGGAAACCAAATATAAAGGAATCAAGGCCAGTTTAAAACTTTTGCACAGTGTGCTATATGACATTGTTTTCCTGCCCAATGCTATAACTTGTGTTTCCCCGTGTCCACCTTCACAGGATTGTGGCGCCGACTGCGCCAAATTCCAGAAAAGCGAGCTCGAGTACAAATTCAGCAAGCGAGCCTTGGAGCGTCCGTACGACTCCAAAAACTCCTGGGGAAAAACTTACGGCGAGCACAAGCGCCATCTGGAGTTCAACCATGACCAGTACAGAGAGCTGCAGAAATATGCTGCTGAGGTGGGGATCTTCTTCACAGCTTCAGGGATGGACGAGGTAAGAGAGACTTTTGTCAAAAGATTTGTGATGCTGCGAGTATCTAAGAGGTTTAACTCCACCTTTATACTCTGTCTTTCAGATGGCAGTGGAGTTTCTCCATGAACTCGATGTGCCTTTTTTAAAAGTGGGATCTGGAGACACCAACAACTTTCCCTATTTGGAGAAAACAGCCAAGAAAGGTGTTATTGAATAGCCATAACTAGATAAAAAAAAAAAAAGGTCCAAGTTACTGGATAGCAGATAATTTGAGTTTACTGTACAAGAAGTGTCAAAAATAAGTCTAGTCCACTTTCTGGAAATTCAAAACATTTTGTTCTTTACACAGTGTACACGTTCACCATTAATGCACATGATCACAAACAGAAATGCACTTGTTGTTGGGTCACACAAGCAGCATTAGCATCATGTCTGAAAAGCCACTATAAAATCTTAGTTACGATGCAATGATAGCTAACGTAGCGTTTGGTTTTCTGTACATGGCATTTAAAATGATTAGTGGGTTCTTGTCTGTCAGGTCGTCCCATGGTGGTGTCCAGTGGGATGCAGTCAATGGAGACAATGCGCCAAGTCTACAAGACGGTGAAGCAGCACAACGAAAACTTTGCTATCCTTCAGTGCACCAGCGCCTACCCTCTGGAGCCTGAAAATGTCAACCTCAGAGTGATCACGGTGAAAAGACACTTTTCTTATGGGCTTGAGCTTTTATAAATTAACACCAGGTAAACTCGGAAGGTTTGTGGCGATCAGAGACTGTACCACCTCCAGAGCTAACTCAGTTAGCACTACTTCAAATTTAGCTGCAAATCAGTGTGCATTGGAGCGCCTCCCTTTTGACTGTTAAGAGAACCCTCAAGTTCTTAGACCATAGTTTCAACAAAAAGGTTGGCCGCTCTCTCCAGTTTGGGCCTGAGTGTCAGCCACAAGCTGAGGAATTCAAGTATGTGGGAGTCCTGTTGATGAGTGGTGAGCGAGGCCTCATCTGCAGTAATGAGGGCGATGATCCGGTCTGACGTGGTATTGGAGCTGAGCTGAAAGGCAATGGTCTTGATTTACTGGTCTGTTCATGTTCCAGCCCTCACCTTTAGTCACGATGTGTGGATCGCGACCAGATGCAAGTGGCTGAAATAGGCTTTTAGCGTAGTTCATGTTGTGTGGCTGGGCTCAGCCTTGGAGATTAATCTTTTTTTTTAAGTTTATAGTATATTGTCTGTTTACAGTTTTATATCATGTTTGTGGTTTTAAAAATTATCATTACTTTATCCACTTGTTGACTGCAGGAGTACCAAAAGGAATTTCCAGACATTCCCATTGGATATTCTGGCCACGAGTCTGGAACGTATGTTTCTGTGGCAGCGGTGGCTCTGGGAGCAAAGGTCATTGAGCGTCATGTAACGCTGGACAAGACATGGAAAGGAAGCGACCACGCAGCTTCACTGGTGCCTTCTGAACTGGCTGAACTGGTTCGTGCCATTCGACTGGTGGAGAAGGCGATGGGAAGCAACGTCAAGCAGATGCTGCCATGTGAGAAGCCGTGCCATGACAAGGTTAGTGAAAAGATCCCTGCTGAAGAATTACACTAAAAATACTGTTTAATTATGTGAATTCTGAGTCAGGGTTCACATTATTGTTTTCCTTTTTATTGTTTCTTTGAATGTTTTTTTGGACTCAACTACGTCGGTGTACTTTGTTATTTAAACCAATAAAATATCAAAGTGGTCCGCTTGATCTTGGATAGATTGCAATGAGTTATTTTTATTTGTCACTCATACTTTTGAAATATGATCAGAAAGAATGTATTTACAGGAAAACAAAATCCCTATAGAAAGATTTTTTTCCTAACAGAGCACTTTGCTCTCATACTACAGGTTTATTTGTGGTTCCTAGAGTTTTCCAAAGCAGAATGGGGGGAAGATCTTTCAGTTATCAGACTCTTCTCTGGTGGAACCAACTTCCAGTTTCTGTCCATAAGGCTGACACGTCCATTTTTAAGACTGGGCTTAAGACTTTCTTTTTTGATAAATCCTATAGTTAGGGTTGGCTTGGGTTTCCTGACCTACCCCTTAGTTATGTTGCTATAGGCTTAGACTGCTGGAGGACAAATCGACTACATTTCATCAAATGAATAGTTACAAATGAATAGTTTGTATTTATAATTATTTATTTATTCACATGGTTTTTTTTAAATCTTTCCTCCTATAGATAGAACACCTCGACCTGCCATTCTGTGTCCATCACAATCCCAGCCGGTCAAAGCAGATGGCCGCTCGTCCTGAGCCTGGTTCTGCTAAAGGTTACCTGTTAAAAAGGAGTTTTTCCTTTCCGCTGTTGCCTTTGTGCTTGCTCAGGATGGGAGACTGCGAGGAAGTGAAAATTTAATGCAGTCTGCTGGCTTCCGTAGATAGAGAACTTTACTAATCGGCTTTTTATGTATGTGAATGTTTCTGTTCAGTGCCCTGAGAACGTCTGTTGTGACTTAGCACTATATAAATAAACTGAATTGAATTATACTTGCTCAAACTATGGTAGTCTAAATGTCCTTCTATGATGCTTTTAGCTTATACATGTACCTGCAGTATATGGTAAATGTACTGTACTTGTAAAGTGCCTTTCTATCTTATTAAAACACTCAAAGCTCTTCACACTACAATCTGTGCCCTCATTTACCCATTCATACAGCACTCTACGCTTCCTAGACGCCTCCCTGGTGAGGTGTTCCGGGCACGTCCCACTGGGAGGAGACCCAGAGGAAGACCCAGGACACGCTAAAGGGACTATGTTTCTCGGCTGGCCTGGGAACACCTCGGGATTCCCCTGGAGGAGCTGGCCCAAGTGGCTGTGGAGAGGGAAGTCTGGGCCTCCCTACTTTGGGTACATTCACACCAGCCCCGTTTAGTCCGCTTTAATTGAACTCCAGCTCGTTTTCCTAGAAAGTCCGGTTTGTTTGGGGAGGTGTGAACGCGCCATCGAACTCTGTCACGGAACAAAAAGGCGAACTCTGGCCCGGGCTAAAACCTAGGTCTCGGTCCGGTAGAAGCGAACTCCAGTGCGGTTCGAGTACAGTGTGAACGTAAACAGACCGAGCCCCGCTCCGCAGGGTAAACAAACACGCATTTCTCTGACCTTATATGGAGCCGTCAGCTGCCTTTTGTGGAAAAACAATATTCTCCATGGTCTTCTGTCTCATCTTCTGCTAAGTCCATTTTTGAAAAATGACAAAATATAACTCCTAAAACTGCTAAAACTTGATGCCACTTCATTTTTATTTTTGTTTACAGAAGAAGAAGAAGACGTGTCTTCAGAGGTTTTTGTGTCGTTTCTTTCAGTAGATCTTGGTGCAGCGCCCCCACAGGCGAGCAGGGGAACATGTTGGTTCAACAGGTTGACTCGACTGCACAGTGCAGTGTGAATGCAAACGCACCAGCTCAAATGTAAACAAAAGCTCATGAATAATGGTCCTGAACCGAGTCTACTGGACTATCTGGTGTGAAAACGACCTTAGGCTGCTACCCCCGCGACCTGGCCCCGGATAAGCGGAAGAGAATGGATGGATAGACAGCACTCTACTAGATCTGTACAAAGAATAATCAGTGCTTTATCACATTCAGACCCCAATGGGACACAAATCGGAGGCAATGAGGGGTTCAGCGTCTTGCCCAGGGACACTTGAGCATGTGACTGCTGGTGAATTCGAACCCCCAACTCTTGCATTGGAAGACAATTGCTCTAACTACTCAGCCACAGCCGCCCATACATATATATATATATATATATATATATATATATATATATATATATATA